TATCTCCGCTCCGGTGTAGCGCGAAATTTCTGACTTGCGAAATATCTGAGATAGGATGCCTATGCGCATGCGTACGCGTATGCGCATGCGCACTTCGCATGCGTCCTGACCCGAATAATCACAGCTCGTCTTTGTGTGCGAAATTTCTGACCTGCGAAATATATGATATAGGATGCGTATGCGCATGCGCACTTCGCATATATGCTCAAATATGGCGATTTCCACTTCAGCTAAGACACCAGCTGGTGGCGAAGGAGGGGGGGGAGAAGCTGGTGGAGAAGGAGGAAGGGGAGAAGGAGGAGGGGAGAAGCTGGTGGAGAATGAGGAAGGGGAGAAGGGAGAAGCTGGTGGAGAAGGAGGAAAGGGAGAAGGGAGAAGGTGGTGGAGAAGGAGGAGGGGAAAAGCTGATGGAGAAGGAGGAGGGGAGAAGCTGGTGGAGAAGGAGGAAGGGGATTCTGTATCTTTTCCATGGCTTCAGCGTCGTTGTTTCATCCATGTATATTGGTCTACCATTCTCCCAACCTGTCCAAAATCCTTGAATCTCTCTCCCATCGAGTGATAGCATTCCTGTAGTAATGTTTAGAATAGCATTGTTTGGGACGAGAAAGTCGAGTCCCAATATCCTATCCAAATCCTATAATTGTGCAATAACCATTGTTTTCTTTATTGTAGGTTTGCTCGGCGATCTCTAGATAGACAGCAGTCTCTCCAGGACTATCCATTGTTTCGCCGTTCGCTATCTTCTGATCTCTCTTTCTGGTTATCAGCTGTAGCCCGGTACTCGCTTTGATGTCGTTGAACCTATCTTCATTTTAGAATTAGGAAATGTTTATATACTTCCGCGTGCATGCTAAAACCAACTAACCAATCAGCCAACCGATTCAGACGTCAGTTATTTAATCACGCGGGCAGGATTAACAATGACAGCAGTGAAGCTGGTTGCGGTGTGTGTATTGTTCTCAACCTTATTGGTGGTGAGGACACAGTTTCTGCAGGAACCATATGACACGGAGGCAGTTGAAGGTACCAGTGTTACGGTGCACTGCACGATTGACCCCGGTTTCAATACCGGGGAAGATTTACCCATTATCGTTGATTGGTACCGTGACAGTTCCTACTTAAGTCCTACTAATGAAAAAAGATATTTCTACATTAACGACAACAGGTACGACACAGGAAACTTTAGTTTGCTAATATCTAACTTGACAGTTGAGAAAGATGACGCAGAGTTCTATTGTGAATGGCAGCAAGTCGAGGTCGCGCCCGGTGACCGGCCTTCATCTAACAAGGGTCATCTAACTGTGCTTGTGCCACCGCAGTCGGTTGTCATGTCGCTTATAGACAGCTCTTCATCACCGGATGGAACGCCACAGTTCTCGTGTGTATCAGACAGCAGTAATCCAGCAGCTAACGCCACCTGGTGGCTGAATGGTGATGAGATTACGGCCGACTCCAGCCAAACAGAGGAAGCGGGTTCAGGAAACAAGACATTTACAACAAAAAGTATCCTGAGTCACAGGTTTTCAACGGAAGATATTGACAAAGAACTTCGTTGTCATATCTTCATTCACCAACGTTTACCCGAAGAAGTGTTAACCGAGATTTTGTACATGGCAGACACCGTGACCATCATCAGCAGCAGTAACAACTCCAGTGATAATGACGTCATTAT